GACTAACAAAGAGGCACTCCCCGAGAGTGGAGGCACTAGCTGGTTTTTGTCTGTATAGAATCGCCAGTATAGGCGGCACTGTGTCAGTGCCAATACAGCCAATAGTGAGAAATGTACAATTAAAAACGATATATCAGTGTTTGTGACAAGAAAGGAATAATAAGTAAATTAAACCTAGGTGGTGTAGCCAAGGTTTTGTTGCATTGAAGTGTCTTCAGAGATAGACCTGTCATCGACCTGAGAAAAGATCCATGCATACCATAATACCAAATCCAACCTAATAGCTTCCTAACCCAGATAACAAGAAAGGGGTAAGGTGGACGGAGCGGTAACCAAGAGAAAGCTGAGGCAACTACGAGGAGGAGAAGAGCGGCCGGAGCAACGGGCAACAACGGGCAACGACGACGAGAAAGAAAAGGGACGGCGTAAATGTATCTCCTACATTCAATTACATGAGACACACATAATGACATTCAATTAGCTCTAAGACACCACATTTATGGACACAATATAAGAATATCTTCAGGTATTGATCTCACTGTGCAGTTCAGCTGGAAACCAGACACTAGTGCAATTTGTCGTCCCTCCTGTGTAAGCTACATACTTTTAGAGCTGTGAGTTTGTAAACGAGTATTGGAGACCTAACGCTCTTATTTGCATGTAGAGAAACATGCAGTCACTGCTTCATGCAGGAACTGTGGGCTACGTGACTGAAAGTTGTCAGTTCCAGATAGGAATACTTACTGAACCTTGTAATGGAGTTGTTCAAAGATCTCCATTTTAGATGCATTCTATGCACAGAGCATAAAATACTTGTTAGTCAACGCATTTCAGCTTCGTAACAATTAAAGGATTCCAAGTCGACACTTGAACTTGGAAGCTCGCCTACAGAATAACCTTCAGAATGACAAGCTGAGAACTGAACATGTGTGTTCCAGTGTCCTGTACAAGTCCATTAATCATTCTAACTTAATTTACATTTTCAGGTCATACTGCGTCAAACAGAGAGTCATCAGGGCTGTTAAGAGTGATTGCCGCCCCTGAACCTAGAGCCATAGCCAACGAGGTGGCCCACCAGCTTCAGGGACGGCAGGGGCCAGCCCACGATAATCAGGGAAGCCAGGAGTTGGACCACGATAATCAGGGACACGAGGGGCCAGACCGCGAGAATCAGGGATGCGAGGGGCCAGACCGCGAGAATCAGGGACGCCAGGGGCCAGAACGTGAGAACCAAAGACTACAGAGGTAGGGACACCAGAGGCCTCACCGGCGTTACTGAAAGTAAGTAAAGTAAATGTATCCCTGTAACAGGGCGTGGAGGCCCATAGGGTTGTGAGATGCTGAGGTTCCCACATTTTCCAGACAATTGGCTCATAGATGACAGCAAAATTATCAGCCCTATGCACTGGCCACCCTTCTTTACCCCCAACAATATTCCTGCTACTCGTTTCTGTTAGAGGCTGAGTCGACCCCAGGTCCATAGTGTGGCTGGAAGGATTAGGTCAGTTCAAAGAAATCCAGTGACCTCATCGGGACTTGAACCAGCGACCTTCCAGCTTGCAGAATAGTGCCTCAACCAACTACGCTACCGCTTTCCCCAACTTCCATCATACTACAATAAAAAGGTCAAATTATGGACTGTTGGCCAGATTTACTGTTATATATCAGATTGTATTATACTTAAATTTGATTGTATAATAATTTTTCCAGTACTGCTAATGTTAAAAAATATTTGGGGCTGTCATACATGTTATGTTGTTTTGTGGAAAGATTTTCTATCTTATGGACATGTTAAATAGTAAAGGAACATAGAACTTGTATTGTGGCCCACAGGAGAGTGCATTATGTGAAAGGTCTGTAAGTGCAGAAATGGATATCAAGCAAGAATTTCATCAGTCTGAAAATCTGTGACCAGTGCTGCAGATGGTTGACCATGTATGGCAAGCAGATAATGCCCTGGTCAAGATAATTTTATGGTATTATTGTTTTAATGATGGCCATGAATTGAAGCAGATGCAGGAAGTTATGTATTGTGATCAGTGGAAGATGATTTTAGATAAAGCTTGAATTTTGGTCAGTAGTTGTCACAGTACCTTCAGCAAGAGCTGAAGATGCCACACATTTCAGTCGTTTGTGTGCTCATCAGTGCAGCAGAAAATGTGGGAGCCTCGACGCCTTATCACCCTATGAGCCACCACAGTCCGCCACAGGGACAGCTTCCTGTTGCCCGTCCAAGGATTGAAGCATTGTGTCCATATGGCTTTCAAAGTACTGGATGTATTGAGTTTCCACTTCAGTACTGTTAATGCTGCTGTGTCTGTTACTGTTCCCAGCTCAGTGAGTACTGACATCAGAATTTCATTTTTGGTACTTTATTGCTCATGTTGAGCATAATTAAAGTGGTACTTAACATGGATCACAACTATAAATTGTATATTTCAGGGCATTACAAACTGCTCTGGCATAAAATTCACGTGATGTGGAAGGGGTGTATAGTGCTCACTGTGTCTGTTTAGTAAAGGTATATAAAGTTGTGTTTTTCTATGTGACACCAAATATTTTGATGCATGTAGTGCAGTATGTAATAGATATATTTATTTCTCTTTAGTGTAGAATTTTTGTGGTTTGTGATTTCTCTGTACCAAAACTTTGTCAGCAGGAGAACTCTAATTGAAATTATTTTCTTTTACTTTCATGGATTTTAATCAACATCCATTAGAACTTTGATTAGAATTTTTTGGCAACAATGTGCAGTATTTGAGAAGTGGTGCAAGATATTGGCTTTCAAGTTACTCTGCTTGCTCTGAGAGCCTGATATTACTCAGGGACGAAAAAAAGTGTAGTGTACTACTTAATGCACACATATCAATGTCAAATGAACTCTCTTGTTTATGATATCCTTGACACACAATTACTTGCAGTTAATTTGCACACCATTATAAGGCTGTTGACACGTATTTAGCCAGCTCTCATTTTTGTAAAGTTTGCAAAATGCTTTGTGAAATCAAGGGGCAAAGCATCTTCACAGAGTGGAAATATTCACTATGCTACATTTGGACAATTGTAGATCTCTTGAGGTGGGAATTCTTTCTTGGTAAGAGTTGTGCACTGAGCAACATCTCTCTGGTAGCTCCTAAACATCACGTACTGTATTTAGACACCTCTTAATTTAACATAATGTACAGCAACCAGTTTCCACTTGCCTGCTTCCTTTGTGACGCCAACACACCCTCGTCCCCACATTCACTTTCTAGCAACCGTCCTGCTGCTCCCTGGCAAGCACAGGCACCACCACGCCACAACCTGAGGTGCCGCCCTCATGCGGCCACGGCTCCAACTACTTAGATTGGCTGCACTCAACATGCCGCCCACCTAATTTGAGCTACAAATTACAGTTAATTAAGCAACAAGTCTCTACACAAATGAACGCAGCGGGTGGTCCCCTGTTCACCCAGACAGTCCTCATCACTCACATGATGCGATCTGTTAATTTAGTTTGTCAGGGAACAGAACAATCTTCGTTACTGGCCTTCAGTAAGACCCCTTGCTGGTCCGCACAGTCACTACACGAACTAAGCCATCAGCCCCAGGATGGGCCTCCTCAATGATGCCCGTCGGCCAGGTGAGAGGAGGAGTGTTATCTTCCTTCAGAAGCACCAGCCTTCCTGGTCAAAGATTAGGCTGGTTCTGCAACCACTTGGAACACTGCTGCAGCTGGCGCAAGTAGTCTGCTGACCAGCGCCTCCAGATGAGCTGCCGGCACCGCTGGACCAGTTGCCATCTTGACAGACGTGAGGATGGCCCGACATGACAATCTGGTTCTGGGAAGGACATTAAGGGCTCACCAATCAAAAAATGCCCCGGAGTAAGGAATGCACAATCACCAGGACTACTACGTATTGGAATGATGGGCCTAGAGTTCATGCATGCCTCAATTTGCGTGAGCAGTGTGGTCATTTGTTCGAATGACAAAAGAGTGTTACCAGCTACCTTCCTGAGGTGAGTCTTCACCGATTTGACACCCGCTTCCCACAGTCCGCCGAAGTGAGGGGAGTGGGGGGGATTAGATGCCACTCCATCCCTTCTTGAGCTGCGTATCTTCATATAGCTGAAAGATGATCCCTTGAGCCTAGCAGTCGAGACATCTCGCTCAGCCGTCGTTTCGCTCCAGTGAAATATGTGCCGTTGTCACTATACATCTGACTGCAGCGCCCACGTCTTGAAACGAACCTCTGTAACGCAGCAATGAAGGCTTCAGTTGTCTAGTTGCTGTAGTTCAATATGTAGGGCCTTAGTTGCCACGCACACAAACAGTGCTATATAGCATTCTCTCTGGGTTCTACTTCGAGGAGTACCATATTTCACTTGCAAGGGCCTGCCATAGTCCACACCACAATGGGAGAATGGCTTGCTTGGTGTGACGCGAGATGCAGGCAGCTGTCCCATTAGCTGCCTGCTGGCCTCGGCCTTCGTTTTGAAACATGTAACACACTTTCGGATCACTTGTCTGACAACCTATGGGCCATTAGTTATCCAGAATCGCAGTCACAGCGAAGCTAGAAATCTTACATGCTAGAAGAAGTTGGCTTCCAGCATGCAGCAATCGTATGTGCTCATTCCAGATCAACAGTTTGGTGACATGATGTTTGGATGGTAGGATGAGCGGGTGTTTCTGATCAAAGGGTACATCAGCGTTCTCCAGTCTACAGTCCACCCTCAACAGGTTGTTCCCATCCAAGAAGGGATGTAACGTCAGATGCTTGCTGTGAGAGGGTAATGCTTTCCCTTGCTGCAAACTCTGGATCTCCTGAGCAAACGATGAGTGCTGTGTAATGCGAGCAATGACAATCAGCGACTTGCGAAGCTTGGTAGACGTCAGCGGTCCGTGCCGGCCTGATGCTGCACCTTGTTTCAGCTTGTAGAGGAACCTGAGAATGTAGGCAAAGACTCTTTGTAATTTTGCCCAATTGGAGAATCGCTTGAATAAGGATTCTATCTCTGAATAGATGGTGATGCAGCATAGCTTTACTCCTCGCCATTCAGGAACCTTCTCGGGATCTGCTGGGGGCTGTGCTGGCCAGGAGGAGGGATCCTTGCTTGGCCAGGAAGGTCCCGCCCACCATAGCTGATTGCCTTCAAGTCGTCGTGGGTCCGTTCCTCTGGAGATGATGTCCGCAGGGTTGTCCTGTGATGCGACATGTCTCCAAGCTAGGTAAGTGGTTAGCCGTTTGATCTCCGGACTCTGTTGGCCACATGTTTTCCAAGTTGACGAGCACCCTGCTATCCAGGCTAAAACAACTGTGGAGTCCGTCCAGTAAAAGCGTTGAACAATTTGTAGGTTGAGGGCCCTATGCACCTTATCTACTAACTGGCTTAAAAGAAGGGCGGCGTTCACCTCCAGTCTTGGGAGCGACACCTGCTTCAATGGGGCCACTCTTGATTTCGAAGATAACAGATGAAGTGTGATGGTTCCGTTTGGGCTTACGGAACGTAGATAGACACGCCCCGCAGGCTCTTTCTGAGGCATCAGCAAAGCCATGAAGTTCTACAGGTCTGCTGTGATTCTTCTGCGTATACTAATCCTGTTGAGATCAGGCAGCTGTTGGTGAATTTCCTCCCACCATGTGGTAAGTTCTGAAGGCAATCTCAAGTCCCAATCCAGCTGTCGTTGCCAAAGAGTTTGAATGAATAACTTGCATTGTACGATGACGGATCCTAGTAATCCCAACGGGTCGTATATGGACGCTACATTAGCCAGCACCATTCTCTTCGTCCATGTCACATTCTTGTGCCTGCTGTCCACCACGCTGAATTGGAACAAGTCACTACTGGGATACCAGTGCAGTCCAAGTCTTCACTGCACCCTCGTAAAGAGGAAGACTGCAAGGTCTCTGTCTCTCCTGAAGTGCGGCTGGAATGGCCTCCAAAATGTCTAGACTGTTGGATCGCCACTTCCGAACAGGGAACCCTCCACTCTTGAGCAATGATGTGATGTCGTCATAGAGCTGGATAGCTTCACTAACAGTGTCCGTTCCTGTGAGCAGGTCATCGACATAGAAGTCATTCTTAATTACTTCAGCTGCAGTCAGTTGTGTAGGTTGACCGTCGAGCGCCACCTGTAATAAGCATCGTGTTGCCAGAAAAGGAGCTGCAGCGGTTCCATAAGTTACAGTGGTCAGACGGTAGGTTTCTAACCGTTGACTGGGATGACTTCGCCACACGATTCTCTGGAGGTCTCTGTCGTCCTCATGCACTTGAATCTGTCGGTACATTTTCTCCATGTCTGCAGTCAATGCTTACCTGCGAAAGCGTAGTACTATGGAGAACAGATCCTGCTGGATGGTTGGTCCTACCATCATCAAATCATTCAGCGAGAGTGACGAGGTGGTTTTTGCTGACACGTTAAAGACTACTCTAACCTTGGTAGTGCTGCTTGTATTCTTTACTACCGCATGATGAGGCATGTAATAGCAAGACCGATGCTGGTCAGTAGGGTCGATGAGTTCCATGTGCCCCAGTCGCAGGTACTCATCCATAAACTTGACATACTCATTCTTCAAATCTGGGTTTCTCAGTAATCGCCTTTCCATGTACCCAAAGTTCTGGCTAGCAGTGAAGGGAGTCCCCAAGTTCTCCAACATCTTGCCGCAAGGGTAGCCTCACTCTGAATCTGCCTGCATCATCACGGGTAATAGTTTGTGAAATGCTCTTCACACATGGTCTCTTCCTTGGACTGGTGGCGTGTCGTCAATTCTTCTTGCATTCGTTCCACTTGTGCATGCAAGTCGTGAGTAAACAATGAGGTTGTTGCCGTCTTCCGTTGTCCCACAGAATGTGCAGGTATACATCCTGACAAGACCCAACCAAACTGAGTATTCTGGAGTGTTGGGTGGCCCTGCCTAGATTGCTGTTCTGGCCTCAACACTTCAAAAAATACAGTTGCACCTAGCAGTAGATCTATGGCCCTTGGTTGGTAGAAGTGCGGATCTGCGAGAGGAATGTCGGTGGGCAATTCCCATCCTTCATAGTTGATTCTTGACGACGGTAATGAGGCAGTGATCAGCGGCACTACGAAACATACAATGAAGTTTGTGTAACTTCTGACGGTGGATTCGATCTGTAGTTGGCAGAAGTGAAGGGATTCCGTTGCCCGCACGTTGCTTATACCATTGATGGGCACAGAATGCTGATTTAGCTTGAGGCCTAACCTATCCGCTAGGTCTCGAGACACCAGATTCATTTGAGAGGCACTGTCCAGAAGTGCTCGACATTGACGAATTCTACCTTGACTATCCTTAACATTGACAAGAGCGGTAGACAAAAGAACGTCCTTGTGAGGGGAAGCGCCCCTTGATGTTGCAACAATGTTGTCCGTATTCTGCTCAACGTGTAACAATGTGTGATGGGGGTTTGTTGCAATTCCTACAGCTTCCTGAGTTGCAACTGTTGGCTCCGTGGTCACTTCATAGGCTATTGTAGCAGAAGTTATGCTCCCTTACAAGGCTGATGCGGCTACTGACGTTCAGGTTCTTGAATTTCATGCACTTGTGCAGACTGTGCAAAGACGCACATAAGGGACAGGGGGGACGTGGTGACAGGATCATCACTGTCCTCTCAAGCTTGTCCCACGTTTCAAGTCCTCCTGGGCAGTCCTGTTAGATGAGATGATTTCCAGGGTCTGGCAGTTACTCTCCAGAAACTGAATTAGGTCCTTCAGGCTGGGGTACACTTCGCTTGAACTACTATTCTCCCACTGCTTCCTAAGATTTAGACTGATGCGCTCCAATACCAAGAGAGACAGAATGATTTCGTGTAACAGTGTTTCGATTTTCAAAGCCTCCACTGCATTTAAGTTGCTGCAGAGTTGACTGATTAGTAACCGCAGCTCCTTAGGAGAATCATTCCTTGCATTTGGCAGAGTCATTAATTCCTTGATATGTAGATCTGAGATGAGCCGTGGATTAGGGTAACGACCACGGATCAAGTCCCACGCAACCTTAAAGTTGTCTTGAGATACAGACAAATTTTCCGTGAGATGGTGTGGCTCTCCAGAGAGGCATGATAATAAGTAATAATATCTCTGAATGTCTGTGAGAGCATCATTACTAATAATCAATGCTACAAATGTGTCGTAGAAATGCACGATATCTTGCAATGCACCACTAAATTTTGGAAGGGAAATCGGTGGAAGCTTCACTATGGTATTATTAATCACACTTTCATTATTGACACATAGGGGCGGAGAAGAGGGGTCCAGTGCACAATAGGGTTTCCATTTTCGCTTCGAGCTCTAGGCACAAATCATCGAAAGCTGCCCTGTCGGTTTCGTGCGACCCATCCTCAGGTGCGTCGATTTCCAGCTGTAATTGTACATCATTGTACTCATCCACCAGGCTGGACAGTAGCAGTCTCCTAACCTTGATTTCGTTCAGATTGCCACCGACTTCCCCCGCAATTACAAAGGAGCTTAAGCGAGTCACGCGTGATTTGATGACTGCTAGTTTCTTGATCAAGGCACGTTTCTGATTGTTGTCCATGTTAGCCCAGGAAGGTTTGTGATTTTGAACCACATTGTACTTACCAGATCACGGCTGTTGGCAGTGCGTCACTGCGGCCCCTTGTTTCGTTGGATAACGACACAATGCACATGATGCACACTGCCACGCTTACACAATCGTTTAGATTACTTGCACAGTTTTATTGACATCCGGCCCGGAGGACCAAAAAATGTTGTGCGCTGAGCAACATCTCTCTGGTAGCTCCTAAACGTCACGAACTGTATTTAAACACCTCTTAATTTAACATAATGTACAGCGACCAGCCTCCACTTGTATGCTTCGTTTCCCACGCCAACACTACCGCGTCCCCACGCTCACTTTCTGGCACCGCCCCGTGAAACACCCATGTTATTGATTGGCAACAAGGCCGCCGTGACACCTCAGTGAAACGATGCTGCCATCTATGTACGCTTACATGACTAAATTAAAAATGACCTCCAGGGCCGAGAGCACAATCGGTAAGAAGGTATGCTATCTTAACAACTATTTTGTGTGCTCCCCCATCAAAATGCTTTTTTCGCTACTAGCAATAAATCCTTCTAGATCTCTTGTACTGCAGTCTCCCTTTCCTTCTGGCGTTCCCACTAATAACCTATATGCATTCCTCGCCTCCCCATTCATGCCACATGTCCTGCCAACCTCATCCTCCTCGACTAGTGATATTGAACACAGTTCAAAGTATTCATTTCCCCACCAACCTATTTCCATTTGTGAACTGTGTTCAATATCACTAGTCGAGGAGGAGTTTGGCAGGGCATGTAGCACGAATAGGGAGGCGAGGACTGCATATAAGATATTAGTTGGAACGCCAGAAAGAAAGAGACTACTGGGAAGACGAAGGTGTAGGTGGGTGGACAATATTAAAATGTATCCTAGTGAGATAGGATGGTATAGATTGGATTGCACTGATCTGGCTCAGGATAGGGACCAGTGGAGGGCTCTTGTGAACATAGTAATGAACCTTTGGGTTCTACAAAAGACTGGAAAATTCTTGAGTGGCTGCACAATTGACAGCTTCTAAAGAAGGGCTCAGCTCCATAAGGAAGTTCAATATCACTTCACCCATATCCTTTGGGTTGGATTTGAGTGAATTTCTATTAAACTTGGTGCCCCATTCAATTTCAAAAAAAAAAATAATAATAACAGAATAAGAGCCTCTGCAGCTCTGGAGTACATGAGATTAGGGTGCAAATTAATTATCTGGAGAAAGTTTGTCACCAGGCCAGTAAAGTCATAACCTTTCTTTCACATGAAACACCTCTTTAACCAAAAGCACTGAACATCGTGAACTGTAACATNATATTGTAAGCAACAATACTCATGTTCCCATTTATTATTATTTTCATTAGAATGATGGAATTCGAGAATGTGAAATACACTCTTGTCAACAAGATTAAGACTGCATTTAAAGATATAAAAAAATGTGATATATTCATCTTCACTAGTTCAGTACTGGGCAGAACAATATGGCAGAAATAATAACATATCTTAAACAAATATAATGAATACTGAAAATCTGGTATCTGTTCACATTCCAGTTCAGTAATGGAAAAGTTTACATGGCAAAAGTAACACATCTTACAGAAGAATGTAATGAATACTGACAATCTGGTATATATTCATCTTCCATTTCAGTATTGAATATGATTATATAGCAAAAATTAAATTGAAAATCTTATGTTCATGTTCACCAGTCCAGTACAGGTAGCATTAGATGGCAAAAGCAAGAGAAGGAATACACCTATAACAACAGAAGTGAATAACAATGTAATGAAAATGAAATAGGTAAAGAAATTACATAAATAGTCCTATACTGATTCTGCTTCTCAGAGTTTAACACAGAGGTGGATAACCTGAACTTTGCAAGTCAATTATGAAGTAATGCCTCTTCATTGTTACCTACACATAAAGAAGACCCATGTGTGTCAGAAAACAATTTCCCATACACTCGATTGAAATATAATTTCTTGAAGATAAACGT